ATCTGGATGGCTCACGATTCAGATGCTCGTTGATCAACTTAATGGAGAAAATTCTCGTAGGTAACAAGATATGGTTCGATTCCACTACCATTTAAAGGCACACAAAATTAAACAAGTGAAAAGATTATGGTTACATCATTAAACTACACACTTTAAGCCCAAGGCAGATGCAATGTCTTGTGCCTCTGTTCTTAGCCAATTTAGGGTGTGCAACCGATTTTCATATTTATTAGAAGGGAGACAACACTAGCTCTTTTTTCTTTAAATAATCTTAGATGAAACTCATTATTCACCTGACTTATTAAACTCAAATTTTGACTCAAGTATAATCTTTTAATTACTATCCATCCATCCCTGTGGCGCTACAGCCCATTAATGGATATGAGGGGAGAGGTGAAGGTGGTAACCTCTGGCCGATGATTCTTACTATGCATCCCTGAGAAGCTACATGTAGGGCTTTGGCCTGCCTCACCACTTCCTTCCACTCAGACCTAACTAGTTCCTTTCTTTTCCATGCTTGGATTTTCAGCTGCTGTAGATCTTTTTCCACATCATCTATCCACCTAAGCCTAGGTCTGCCTTTGAGCCTTTTTTCTCTGGGGTATTGGTGATGCACCCTCTTCGTTCCTCTGTCATTTGACATTCTCTCTAGGTGTCCTGCCCAGCGTAGCCTGCCTCTTTTTTATTTCTGCTACTATCGTGGGATCCTGATATAGACTGTATAATTCATGGTTGGTTCGTATTCTCCATCCATATTCATCCTTTGTTGGCCCATATATTTTCCTGAGAACTTTCCTCTCCCATTTGTTTAATAGGTTTTCTGCTGTTTTTGTTAGGGTCAAATAACTTAATTACTTTGGATATGCATATTTTAATAACACTTTTTTATAAACACTTTTTCAATCTTTTTTTTTTTCATTTTTTTTTTTTCTACTCAATGAGAAATATTCATTTTTTTGGAAAGATGTTAAAGCACTCAAAAAATGGGAGATTGTATGGTCAATAAATAAAAGAACGTTGACGAATTTGGAAACTTTGTTTGTTCTTCTCTTAAGGCTGGTGACCACCATGTCATAGGTGGTTCTGTTGTGGACATATACCCTAAGGCTTCAAGGGTTACCAGGCGTCCGTATTTAGTATGGGCAGTTTGTATTTTCTTCGATCCCCTTGTCCGTACTGAAATGTCACAATAAGAAATATTTAATTTCCCTGTATAATATGTAGGCAACTTGTTTTGCATATATTTGAATAATGGACTTGAATAAAATTAATTTATAATCATAAGTAAGAGAGACATTTTGATTTAAAACAGATATTGATCTCATTCACTTGCAACTGCTAATTCTCTTTTTTTTTTTTTCTTTTCATTTTTTTCTTTTCTTTTTCTTTTAAATGTATAAAATACTAATCATAGTCAATTCGGCTTAGCTCGGGTTCGGAAAAAAAAATATTCTAAAGCGTTATCAGTCATCAACTAACACGTCGCTT